ATTTAAGAGATTTTCTCGACCAGGATGTTGACGGACACCAAATTGTTCCGCTTGAAATCGTAAATCTTGGTGTATAGCTTGAAATTTCATTATTTCGCATTCAGGGTTAATAAAACACTCTAAAGGCTTTGCGTAAATACTTGGGTCCGAACAAGGCAAAAAAGGAATTTTGACGTCGGCTGGATTATAAACTTTAGAATATTTTTCTTTAAAATTATCAATAAAATATTTGAGAGCTTTGATACGAATTTTAGGGTCAGTAGGAGGTGCTGCCAATTCTAGAATTTTTTTAAGTGAGGGAAATTCTCGTAAACCCAATTCAATTAAGAATTTTCCTACAAAGATTTTAATTGTAAGTTCCTAATAGGTGAATATTAATACATATCAAACGAACAAAAATACCTTCTTGCGTATTACGGGTCCACTTTCCCTTCCAATCAAGTACAGGTAAACCAAATTCACGATGTAATACTAAAGGTGCATAAAGATCACTAGCAACAAAGCGTTGAACTTTAGGTTTTGGCTTCGTTTCCCCAGGTTCACCATTATTTGGTTGTGAATCTACAAGGTTTTCTTTAGGCCAGATAGGTGTAATCTTTAATCTCTTTGTTTCAATATCTTTAAGATTATTCGATATTGAGGAAAGGTATTTCACAAGTTGCATATGATCCCAATTTCCTTGACTAACAAGACGATCAAAAATGAGTTGTAATTCAACGACCTATAGATAAATTTCGAAAGTATTCAATATTTAAATATTTTAATCATATAGTATAGAATTTTATTTACCTTTCGAACGCCCAAGAGTTGCATTATATTCTGAACATTTAAGGGTTTTTGAAATAGGATCGTTGGTAGGTCTGGAAATAGATTAACATTTTGGAAATAAGCTTCGGTAGGCAACTTCATTCCAAATTTAGTTGGAACGCATTTCTTTGGAACAAATAACTGGCGAATTATTTCCTTGTCACTTTGTATAGTATTTTTTAATTGTCTTTCTATAATATAATGAACTTTTTCTGCAAATGCAGGGCTAATTTCCAAATCAGGATGACGAACAATAAAGCTAGACCAGGTAACCAAAGACAACCCTATCCATCCAAAATTTTCAAGATCCGACCTTTGTAAGTTTTTGGAAATAGAATATGGCAAAACTTCAACAGGCAAATCTACATCTGGTGGAATTATGCTTGGATTCAAATAATAATCAAATGTGTTTAAAGCTCGCAATTGATCGCCAATACGTACAGTAGCAAGCTGCATGAGCAATGTAAAATCCGATTGATTAACAATATTTCCTTTTGACTTATAGGAAATCAACCATTTCAAAAGCTCAACCATTTCATCTTCAGAAAGTTTTCGACATTTCAATTCATATAAAACGTCTTGAATACTCAACTCTTCTATGAGTTTCATCAAATCTTTTGCTTTCTTAAAAAACACATCACATTGTTCCAATATAACTTTTGGAACAACTGGAACTCTTTTTATAAACCCTGCCATTTCCGGATTAGGCATGCGAACATTTGATATCGGAAAAACTCCATTTGTTGACAAAATAGATAATTGTTGTTTCGAGCAACTGAAAAATTGTAATTCTGTTATTCTGCCAACATGCACATTCGGCGTACTTGGTTTGAAAGTGAAGTGTGTTAAGGCATGAGCTGCTCGTTTTTCAAACCAATCGCGAACAGACTTGACATTCTCATCATCAGTCACTATATCAGTACCAATCATTTCATTATAAAGCCTTGTTATTTGAGTCATTTCATCTTCATATAAAATTCTACACAATATTCCTGCTATACATAACAACTCGTTGTTATATTTAGCCAAAGTTTTGTCCACCAAGTCGATTGATTCTCGCTCCACCTAAATAATTACAAATTTTTAATATAAATGTTTCACAAAATATTTTTACAAGTAATATACATACAGTGGGAATTACGCGGGCCGCCAAGTGAGAACAACATCCCGTGGTTTGATGAGTTGAAAAACCAATATATATTCTTCCTTGTTCTGGATATGGAAGCAAATCTCTAAAGACTGGAGAAATATTCTTATTATAATTCCCAGATGAATTATGTTCATCAAATCCGGTAAATATCATTTGGATAGTTGTTTTTTTTGGCGGTTTCTTTTTAGTAATTCGTTCCATCTCTAAAGAAAACCCTTCGCTGACTTTAACATCCAAATTTCCGCTGGCTATTCTCAGAAACATAGACGTCTCTTCTACTTGATAATCAGTAATTGGTATCGGAAGCCACTGCCTAGTTATTTTATTTGTTGGAACAAGTAACCTTTTAACGTCTAGTTGGACACCTCTAACATCTACTGAGGTAAGATGAAACATCTTTTGTGGAGAAAATGTGTTGAACCCAGAAGCGATGTTCATCAATCTTGGTTCTTGCATTTTCTTTGACAATCGTATTACTAATGTATTATTAAAATACACAGAAATTTCTCGAAGATTGCCAGTAAATCCCTATTATAATTATTATTTTAAAATTAGCAATGAAAAATTATAATATTATAAACATTTCAAATCAATTTACCAGTGAATTGGCTAAGAATCGTGCAAATTCTTCAACATTTGGAAACTAATTAACGTAAAAGAAAATTAGCGTGTCAAAACTTAATGCAACATATATTGTTTATAATTAATGTATAAAAACCTATACCTCAGCAGGTTCTCTCATGTCCATCAAAAATGTTGTCCAAACCTGGTCTTCATCACCAATTGGCCCTCGTTTTGCAAATAATTGATCTCCACGCCAATAGAAAGCCATTCCTTGTCCACCGGAAGAAACACTAGTCAAATCAAACACGGATTAGAGAGTTGATCAAATCTAATAATTACATTTGAAGTAAAGACTTTATAATAACTTACAATGGGTTTTCACAGACTGAAAACAATGAATAAAAACCCACCCCGAAAGCTCCTATCTGTTAACATTATAAAGGAAGTTACAATATTATTATTCTGATTCAGCAAATTCATTTTAAAACGTACTTTTTGTTCATCTGGATTTCCTTCGGCAATCTTCTTTAATCGATTCCAATCTTCATGTCTAAAAGCGAATCCGTTGTTTTTGAATTGAATTCGTTTGACTTTATCTTTTATTATATTTTTATTTGTACTTGGATTTTCTGTTTCAAATATAATATGGACACTTTGTGCTTTTGCATCATCTTTATTAATGATAATTATTAATTAGTCTTGTATGATATAAATCGACGCGAATAAATGATGAAAGCTAAAACTCTACCAGAATTCTGCATTAACTCCCGGTATACTACAAATTCAGCAGAGTATCTAAAAAGAACAAAGTTAATAAATGGGCTCCCATAGTTATGTACACAAAAGGTATAACCTTGTTAGCTTTCAAAAGATTTTACCGAGCCAAAATCTTGTCAATCAAGTGTCTTTGATTGACTTCAACTCGTTCTTCGCCATCTACATTCGAAAGAACTTGTTTTCTAAAAGCGTCTAGGGACATTGGAAAATATAAATATATAAAAAGAACAAAAGAAATTAACGACTTGAATTTTTGATCTATCTATTTATATATTATTAATATCCAAGATTACGTCAACGAAAAATACATTTTATCAGCTGACGAAAGATCATCAAAATGCATTATGTTAGAACAAAATAAAAATACGGGAGACCAGCAATCTCAACTAGAACTTTCAATGTAGGAAAGAACCGATCGAGGCCAGTCTTTATCCCGCCAAATATTTGGTGAACCTCATATACTTGCGTATATGTGGATAAGGTATCACCCAAATCCTATATTATCCTTACTCATTAATTTGAGGCAACATAATAGTTGTTGATAATTTTATATACCCCTAAAAAAATCGATTGCATCAAATTATGGGATTTTCGGATCATATAAGAATGCTGAGTTTTTTTTTGGTGAATTGATTCTAATTTATTAAATATTTTAAACGTTAATATTTAAAGTTAATAATATTAAAAATATCATTAAATTTATAAAACTAAATTCTGCGTGTTGTTAAACAAAATTTTGTGTAATTCTGTGGTGATTTATTTAAATAAATTCATAAATTCGGTCTTTAAAATCGATCGCTTTTATTTAATGATTCATAAAAAAAATTATGAATATCACGTGATTATATGAATTCAAATGAGTGATTAGTCCCTTCGTGTGAGTTCAAGCCTTCAGTTCCTTCTCCTTCAACAGCTGTACCTTCTTCCTTTCTCCCTTCTTCTACAAAGAATACATCTTTCACTTCCTAGAGAATCTAATTAGAAACAATCAACTTGATTTAGAAATATTAAACAAGAAATCCCATATGGAATCGATGAAAAATCATATGCGCTTATTTTATATTCAAGTGATGAATTTGAGTTGATGCTATCAATCTCAAGAATTACAACAAAGGAAAAATTCCAAATTAAAGGTTGCGGTAACGATCAAACATAGTTGACTATTTTCCAATCGGAAAATTTCAAGTTACTCAACCGCGGACTTGATCAATGACCGATCATGAATTCAGTGACCTATGTAGTATGAATTACAGAGGTCGAAAATTGGTTAAACAAATATATCAGATACACAAGCTTCATCCGGAGCAGTGATCACCAGCTCGGAAGATTTTTTTGCTTCGGAATAATACAATAGATCCGAAATTCTCATAGAAATTTGCTAAAATCTTAAAATCTTTTATATAATTTGCTCGGATGGAGCTATAGGAAAGGATGATGTGGTTAGGATTGTTGGATATTTACTTTGCAAATGCAAAGGAAAAATTAACATATAACGCAGGGACTCGCATTATATGGCCCAAGTCCTCCCTTGAAAACATGTCATATATTTCACTTTACATTATTTGCGAAATCGAAAATTTTATTCGTTGTGTAAAATATTATTAATTTTTCAAACATTTAAAAGAAGTCGAGGATAGAACTTTTTATATGTAACTGTAGTGTGATATAATATCATTTTAAAATAAAGCTAGAGTGCGATTCGTCAGGACATTTTTGCACAGTTAGAAACTTGATCTGGTTCTGTTTTGTTAATAGGATCCAAACTTTCATCAATCTCATAATCATCATAGTCGATATCATTGTGATCGATATCTGTGGGTGCTTTGTAACGGTTATCTGGCACCTGCTTTCTTTTTTCGATATCCAGTGGAAATATACCCGTCTCCCATAATATGATTGTGATTAAACTGGGTTGCACAACTTGTTGCAACTTGCTTTGCTTTGCTTTATTGATCTAATTAAAGAAATGTTATTCAGTATTTTTCTGTCACACATTTTCAAATGAGAAATCTACCTTTAAATTTTTGACCGATATCACAGAACTTTCTTTTTTTGTCCGGTATTAGCCGGGGGGCTAGAAATAAAACTTAGACGATTTAATTCAATCCTTCGAATTAATCACAATAACTTTATCACAATCACGCCTGGATGAAGACACAGCAAAAGGTAATAGCAAATGAATAACAAATGTTTTTATAAAACCCTATCTCGAGTTATCTTTCAACTCAGGGAAAATACATGCTATTTATATAAAATAAACTAATGCGATAAATATGTCTAATATAATATATGACTAATATAATAAATATGATAAATAAAATAAATCTATTGAATATAACAAATTTAATAAAGTTAATGATAACTATGAGTCCATTTCTTTACAAGTAATAAAAGTAATGTAAGTAATGCAGAATTTAATAACAAAAAAATTCATATAGTAATATATAACAAAAAGAAGAATTAAACTAAACACTAGTGTCGAACAAAGAGTTCATCACTATTGGACTAAGCTTTTAACTCAATCACTTTATAGCACTACCTATAGTACCCGGGTATTTTACAAAGTACCTTATTAAAATTGTCGGGTATTGCATCAATACTGAAAGACAATATATATAATATATATTTGAAATGGTAAGTAATTTCAAGTAGAATCCAAAGTTATTTAAAAAAATAAAAACAATTTTAATAAAAAGTTTTTTATAATTTATAGTATAAAATAGCTTATAATAAAAAAAAATCTTCAATAGTATATATATGAAAAATTTTGATTTAGGATAACCATTAAATATTAAAAAAAATATTAACATATTCGATTAGAACTGATATTTGATATTTGGATTTAAAGTTAGTTTCTTTCAGTTTGAATATAGATTTTAATAAAGATAAAATTTGGTTAAGAAGACATATATTTTAACTAGAAATATTAAATGATCCTAAATGACTGTAAACAAATATTGAAATTACGAGTTATAAAAAAGTCTAATCGCTTATCTATAATAAGTAACTCTTGATAAATAATTGTAATAATAAATTTTATGAATAACTTATAAAAGCAATATGAACTTTAGAATTAACAATTAATATGAAATTGCCAAGGTGGGATCTGATCTTTAGAAACAGGTCTTAAGTTTCAAAAATTAAGTTTCTGAGCTCCTCCTACATAAGTTTAGTATAAATTTTTAATAAATATTCAATTATCAAATTATCGTTAGAAAATAAAATATAATGCCAGTAAAATATAAATTTTCTCTAGAACTGACAAATTTATTGGGACTTTTAGGACTATTTAGGATTGTTTAACATCTCTAATTTTAACTATATTTAGTCTATTATCAGTTGTAATAATAAAAATAGTATTTATTAAATATTATTATTCAATAATTTGGTATAATTCATCACAAATAACCTCTTCTATATATAGATATTCCAAATAATTACAAATAAGTAAAACTTTACAAAAAGTAAAATTAGAAGTAAGTCAAGTTGCTATTATTTCAATATATTATATCTATGATTGATTTGCAATTCAAAGATCTGTAGTAAAATAAACTGATATAGCTGTCTTTCTAAAGTAAATTAATAAGTTGATCTTTGCTTTAGATATATACTTTATAAATTAAATTCTTTTGCTATTTTTTCACATGGGATTGCAAATCCAGTTTTATAAGCATAAACAAATTCATAAAATCATTATTTTTAAAATATAAGAAATTTGTTAGAAAAATGGAATTCTGAAATTTTTTTTATTAAAATTTTAATTTTTATTATATTTTAATTTTTGATAATGTTAGATTAAAATACTATAAATATTAAAATTATAATAAAAAATATCAGAATCCTATTTTTCTAGCAAACTTCTTAATAAAGGTTAAACAAATTTAATAATAAAAATTATCAAGTAACGTTAGAGCTCTAAATAGGTTCAGTCAGATCAGATAATTGATTTAACTTAATCTGATAAGATTCAAAAATATGTACATATAAAATTTAATTATAATTAGATTAGTTATGAATATTTTTGTAATTATATTAATAATCACTTAACTTGTAGATTTATCGTAACTTGTAATTTTAAAATACATTATTATATTAATAATCATTTTATTTTTTTTTAAAAAATTTTACTAAAGTAATAAAATGTAATAATGTATCAATGTTTTTATATTTTTTTTTAAAAAAAATTTTAAACTAAATTAATAAATGATTAGTTTCATATTCATTATATTATTTTTATAATTAACCTAAAATCACATGATATTCAGATCAAATCAGGTTAGGATAAATTAAAGCTATATTTAATTCAGATCAATTTTCCCTATAAATAATATGTATAAGGAAAGTATACGGATATAATACGTTTAAAAAACGTATAAAAAACGTAGACAAACAGTATAATAAATTCGTAAATATTTCCGTATACAAGATACTGAAAATCGACTTTTTCC